GGAGGCTGAGGCAGGAGGATAGCTTGAACCTGGGAGGTGGAGGTTGCAGTGAGCCGAGATCACGCCATTGCACTCCAGCCTGGGTGACAGAGTGAGACGCCATCTCAAAAAAAAAAAAAAAAAAAAATTAACGTAAAAAAGCATTGTAGATCCAAATGTAAGAGTTAAATAAAATTCTTAGATGAAAACAAAAATATCAATCGTGATCTTGGATTAGGCAAGTTTCTTAGATATGACACCAAAACACAAGCACTCAAAGAACAGATAAATTATACTTCAACAAATTAAATTTTTTTTGTGCTTCAAAGCATACTATTAAAGTGAAAAGACAACCCACAGAATAGAAAAAAAATATTTGCAAATCATATATCTGATAAGAGACTGGTATCCAGAATACAGAAATAATTCTTTCTTTCTTTAGTTTTTTTGAGATGGAGTCTTGCTCTGTCGCCAGGCTGGAGTGCAGTGGTGCCATCTCTGCTCACTGCAACTTCTGCCTCCCAGTTTCAAGCGATTCTCCTGCCTCAGCCTCCCGAGTAGCTGGGATTATAGGAGTGTGCCAATATGCTCAGCTAATTTTTGTATTTTTAGTAGAAACCTGGTTTCACCATGTTGGCCAGGATGGTCTCGATCTCTTGACCTCATGATCCACCCACCTTGGCCTCCCAAAGTGCTGGGATTACAGGTATGAGCCACCTTGCTCCACCACAAAAAAGAATTCATACAACTCAATGATAAAAAGACAACCCACTTTAAAAATGGGCTAAGGGATTTCTCCAAAGACAACATACCAGTGGCCAATAAGCACATGAAAAGATTTCATCATCAGTCATTAGGGAAATGCAAATCAAAACCACAATGAAATATCACTTCACACCAGCCAGGATGGCTTTTTTTTTTTTTTTTAATGGAGACAGAGTCTTGCTCTGTCGCCTAGGCTGGAGTGCAATGGCATGATCTTGACTCACTGCAACCTCCGCCTCCCGGGTTCAAGCAATTCTTCTGCCTCAGCCTCCTGAGTAGCTGGGATTATAGGCACCCACCACCACGCCCAGCTAATTTTTTGGATTTTTAGTAGAGATGGGGTTTCACTATGTTGGCCAAGCTGATCTCAAACTCCTGACCTCGTGATTCACCCGCCTTGGCCTCCCAAAGTACTGGGATTACAGGCATGAGCCACCATGCCCAGGCGGCTATAATTTTTTTTTTTTAAAGGAAAATAAATGTTGTCTAGGATATGGAGAAATTAGAACCCTCATACATGCTGCTGGGGTTGTAAAATGCTGCAACCACTTTGGAAAAGTGTTTAGCAGTTCTTCAAAATGTTAGAGTTGCCATATTATCAAGCATTTCCACTCCCAGGTACATACTCAAGAGAATGAAAACATACATTCACACAAAGGCTTATGCATGAATGTTCATAGCAGCATTATTATAAATAAAGCACGGTAACAGTCCACATATCCACCAACTGATGAATGGGTAAGGAAACTGTAGTACCTTCATACAGTGAAATATTATTCAGCAATAAAAAAGAATGAAGTACAGATACATACATGTATGAACCTTAAAAACACTCTGCTACATGAAATAAACCAGTCACAAAAGGCTACATATTGTGTGATTCATTTATAGGAAGTATCCAGAATACACAAATCCATAGAAACAGGAAGTAGATTGGTGGCCAGGGGCTGGGGAAAGGGGAATGGGAAATGACTGCTAACAGGTATGGGGTTTCTTTTTGGAATGATGATAATGTTCTGAAATTGACTGTGGTGATTGTTGCACTACTCTGTTAATATGCTAAAAACCATTAAATTGTGCACTTTGAAAAGAATGAATTTTGTGGTATGTGAATTACATCTCAAAAAAAGTTATTTAAAAAACAAACCAGCCAGGAACAGTGCCTCACGCTTGTAGTCTCAGCAACCCAGGAGGCTGAGGTGGGAGGATCACTGGAGCCCAGGAGTTCAAGGCTGCAGCGAGCTACAATCACGCCACTACACTCCAGCCTGGGCAAGAGCGAAACACTGTCTCAAAACCAAAAACAAAAGGCTGTAGAAGCAAATGAAAGGGTTTAGGCTATCTTGATGGTAATAGGGAATCATCAAACAGTTTTCAGAAGGACAACAAAATGATCTGAGTTGTGCTTTGGAAAGATCACTATGGGCATCATGTGAGGACTAGATGGAAAGAGGTCACGGTGGGGAAAACAATTAAAGAAGAAAATATGGGCCAGGCGCGGTGGCTCACACCTGTATTTCCAACACTTTGGGAGGCCAAGGCGGGCAGATAGCTTGAGCTCACGAGTTCGAGACCAGTTTGACCAACATAGTGAAACCCTGTCTCTACAAAAAAATACAAAAATTGGCTGGGTGAGGTGGTGCATGCCTGTAGTCCCAGCTACTTGGGAGGCTGAGGTGGGAGGATGACTTGACTCCGGGAGGCAGAGGTTGCAGTGAGCTGAGATCCCACCACTACACTCCAGCCTGGGCAATAGAACCAGACCATATCTAAAAAAAAAAAAAAGAAGAAAATATGTGTAAGGTGCTGATTTCAGTGCCTGGCATATAATAGATATTTGATAAATGGCACTTCCCTTTTCTTTCTTCATGGACTGAGATCATATCAGGGTACCCTCTGCCTTAGACAGTGACTGAGGCCTCATTCTCCTGTCTACAGGGGCTGCAAGACAACATAGCTGGGTAAAGTAGGCCTGGTGTAAGAATCCAGTAGCGGTGGGGCATGGTGGCTCACGCCTGTAATCCCAGCACTTTGGGAGGCCGAGGCAGCGGATCACCTGAGGTCAGGAGTTCGAGACCAGTTTGACCAACATGGAGAAAACACCTCTCTACTAAAAATACATAATTAGGCATGGTGGTGCATGCCTGTAATCCCAGCTACTTGGGAGGCTGAGGCAGGAGAATTGCTTGAACCCGGGAGGCGGAGATTGCAGTGAGCTGAGATCGCACCATTGCACTCCAGCCTGGGCAACGACAGTGAAATTCCATCTCAAAAAAAAAAAAGGGGGGAATCCAGTAGCAAAAGTGTCATTATAACTGACAACTGAGGCCCAGCCTCCATGTCTGGGGGATGGTGGAGAGTGGTAGGCTCATGGCGAGCTCGGGTCCGCATGCCCTCTCTGAAGCTCAGCTTTACTGGACAGGTGCCCTGGGGGAAAGTGGGTACAGCATTGCAGATCTGGTCATTTGTCAAGAGAAGCTGGAAATTTCCATTTTTATATTAGACCTCTCAATTTTCTGAATGCTGGCAACTAATTCGGAATGTTATCAAAAGATGGTTTTAACACAATAGCCAGGTACAGTGGCTCACACCTTTAAATCCCAGTGCTTTGGGAGGCTGAGTTGGGAGGATTGCTTACACCCAGGAGTTCAAGACTAGTCTGGACAACAGAGTGAGACCCCCACCTCTACAAAAGTAAAACAAAAACAAAACAGAATCAGCATCAATAACAAAACAACAAAAAACACTATGAACCAGTTTTGCTCTGCTCCGGGGAGGCTTTCTCAAGTTAACAGTTTGCCTCAGGTTGCCACGTACTTGATTGGGTTACAACTTGCTGGAAATCATTTTTAACTTCAGAAGCACTGGTCCCCTAAACGGATTCCTGGGACATACCCTTATCTCTATCAGTAACACTCAGCCCCTCTGAGCGTGGATTACTCTGCAGATGGCCAAATCGATCTGTTGTTGATTCTATTCACTCCACTTTCAGAGGTTGGCATTTTCCTCGTACTGACCCACCCACCCTATTTGAGGCTTAACATTGTTTAGGAGGAGCGAGCAGATGATTTACAATGAGTGTTATCATTCAAAAGAAAGTCCTATTATTTGCTACAGACTAGGGTGTGGTATCAAAGATTGGAGAGGCCTGGAGTTTAGGGTGGAGTTCGGGCGAGGTCCTGGCCAAGCCCTCGCATGCAGGCGATGTGAGTTCAAGTCATACACAACCAAGTGGGCATGCCATGTCTCCGAGACAGGCCTCCTTTTCGTGTGCTGGGTTGTGGGTTTCACCTTGAAGAAGGTGAATGGCAAGCATAGACAATGAGGGAAGTTATTATGGGTCTGGCAGGGGAAATGCAGTTAGGAAAGAAAGGAATGTAGGTCACCGCATAGTCCCAGGGGCTGTGGTGATGAGTTCGGAGAATGCCACCCTTCCTGGGCCCTCTTCTCCTTAAAGGTAATGCCAGTCAAGGGAGGGGGTTTACTGACTGAGTGAGCCTTACTGGCCTCCCATCCCCCAAACCTTCTTCTCTGGGACATTCTTTTTTCCCTAAAGTGGAGGCCTTGCCTTCTGTTCCAAGTGAGGGTTAGGGCAGGGGAAGACAAGAAAGTCAGCGTGGTAAAACTTGCTGGCCAGACGCGGTGGCTCACGCCTGTAATTCCAGCACTTTGGAAGGCCGAGGTGGGTGGATCACCTGAGGTCAGGAGTTTGAGACCAGCTCGGCCAACATGGCGAAACCCTGTCTCTACTAAAAATACCAAACAAATGAGCTGGGCATGGTGGTGGGCAACTGTAATCCCAGCTACTCAGGAGGCTGAGGCAGGAGAATCACTTGAATCCAGGAGGGAGAGGTTGCAGTGAGCTGAGATCACACCATTACATTCCAGCCTGGGTGACAGGAGCAAAACTCTGTCTCAAAAAAAGCAAAAACAAAGACAAAAAACAAACAAAAAAAATCACAACGTACCTTAATTTTCCTTGGGGGAAGTGAACTCTACAAGGAGATCAGCCTTGGTTACCAGAAAGCAAGATACTTCTCTGAGCATAAATGCTGCTTTGCCCTTCTCCAACTCCTTGCTTGGACTTTTTGGGATAGGTGAGATGTGGAGGTAAGGGGCCTTGGGCTTGGGTCTGATTTCTGGTTCACTCTAGGCCCTGGGCCCTTCATAAATACTTTCCTCCAAATCTTCTTTCCATGCCCTGCCGACCTCATTCTGGCCTCTCACAAGCTGGACACCCTCTTACAAAAAGCTCAGGGAATTAAGATTCTGTTTTTGGGAAAGAGGAAGGGTGACATCCTCAAGTTAAGGAAATGTTGCTTAAGAGGATTTTTGGAGGGTTGAATAAAAGTGAAGGGGCTTTCTAACAAGGAGGTTAAAACCATGGCTTTTGGAGTCTGAAAGGGTTCAAAGTTTACCTGTCATTTACCAGCTGAGTGGCTCTGGGAAGTTACTTTAACTTCTGGACCCCATTTTCTCATCCGGTAAAAAAGGGTTATGAATACAGGCTCTGAGGATTAAGAGGTGAGAAGTACAATGAATACTTAGAACATTGCTTGGTACTTAGCACTGAAAAATGTTAGCCATCACTAGTTTTACCAAAGAAAAAAGGAGAAAAGATGATGTGGTTCCTGGCAGGTGTTTGGTGGCTCCCTGACACCCACATACTCTGCACTGCCCGGAACCTCCTCCCTCCTTGTCTGTATTAGTAATCCCTGCCTCCTCTGCAGGAGCCAGCTCAGCGGCCCCTCCTCTGAGCTCCCAGGGCACCTTGAGTTGGATTTGTCTGGACATTGGGTTCCTGTGTTACCTCCAAATCCACTGCTCGAGCTCAGTGGATGTTTGTTGAATTAGTGAATAATCCCTTGCTTTTGTACGTCACTTCATAAAGCTCATAGGAATACATTATCTGATTTAATCTTCAGAAGCACACTGCAGGGAGGATCCTGTTTTACGGATTAAAAATACACGTATACAAGAGACAGGTTACCTGGAGTCTGCACAGTTCATGCAGATTGCAACAATCTAGACCCTGCCTGAGGTGCAGCTCCTGGGTCACCTCACGTAGTCAAAAGTGGGTGTCTCGGGGAGGTTCCCACCAGCGCAGGGAGGTGGTTTCTGAGCAACCTCACTGAAGTTTGCACCAAATTGCCAGCAGGGCCCAGACCTTTCCCTGACTGTCCCAGCTCTCTCAGTGCAATGAATCTGGGAAACCCAAACATACTGCCCCTCGCACCCCATCAGACCTGCCCTTCCAGGGATGTGGCTTTCCCTTACCCAGGGAAAAGGCTGAGGTGGCCTCAGGCTGCTGTGGGGGACATGGATGTCCTCCTTTCTTGGTGAACAGCAATTTGACCTTAGCCAGTGTGAAGAGTGGGGGGCTCTGACCGGGGTGTGGGAGGAGGAAACGAAGTGGGAGCACAGCCCACCCCCGTCCTCTCTGCAGCCTCTGGGGCTCCCCTCAGGTCTGTCTGGCAGCTGTCTTTCCCACTGACCTCTTTTCCTCCCTCTGTGTTGGCCACATCCTTCCTTTATCAAAAGCAGCTGCTTCAGGTTCTCCTGAATTGCCTTTTAGGGGAAAGGCATTTGTGTCTCTTGGTAGCCGGTTTCTGCTGAGAAAGGTGGGACAGGCTCTGGCTTCTTAGGTGAGACTGGAGAGGCCAAGGCAATCTTTCACTCCTGGAGAGCTGGGGAGAAGCCCACACCACTGGGGCAATTGAGACCCCATCCCATCCCCTCCCCTCCCCTCCCCTCCCTTCCCCTCTCTCCACCTCCAGGACCCAGCAGCAACCCTTTTTGCTCCAGGTTTCTCATTCATCCAAATACTTACTAAGCTCCTACTGAGTGCTAAGCACCTGAGAGGAGGGTCTCAGTGCCAGCGTCATCTCCTCCATGAAGCTTTGGAGCTCTCCCTGGGAATAAGTAAGCTCTTCTCTGGTTACTGTGGCTCAAAGGAAGGTTCACAGACGGTGGTGCCACTCAAACCTGGGTTTTAATTCCAGTGCTATTTACTAGCTGAGATTTTTTTTTTTTTTTTTGAGATGGAGTCTTGCTCTGTTGCCCAGGCTGGAGTGCAGTAGCACAATCTCGGCTCACTGCAAGTTCCGCCTCCCAGGTTCACACCATTCTCCTGCCTCAGCCTCCCCAGTAGCTGGGACTACAGGTGCCCGCCACTACACCCAGCTAATTTTTTGTATTTTTAGTAGAGACGGGGTTTCACCGTGTTAGCCAGGATGGTCTCGATCGCCTGACTTTGTAATCTGCCTGCCTCGGCCTCCCAAAGTACTGGGATTACAGGTGTGAGCCACCCCGCCCGGCCTAGCTGAGAGATGTTATGTTATTTAATCTCTCCGAGCCAGTCTCCCCACCTATGAAACATGGATTCCAGCTAGCACACAGGGTTGGCACTGGCGCTAAAGGGAGTTCTCCATGTAATGCAAATGAGAGACACTCGGAGGACATCAGCTCAACTCTCCCTCTCCAGGAGATGGAGGTGCCTAGCCTTCAGCATTTGTCAAGTCTGGCACCCTCTTTCACTCCATCACATCCTTCCATGGGGAACCACAGGCTCCAGCCCACTCCAAGGGCCTCTGTTGCTCCTGCTGACGTATCCCTAGAGGCTCCAGGGCAACTGCACACTCAGCCCTGGTCTTTGGGCTGCCCCCTCACCGGGTCTGGGCTTCTTCGTTAGGAAGCTTCAGACAGGCTCAGGCAGGCAGGACATTTCCACTATTGCCAGCCCTGCCCCAGGTGGGTGGGGAGGGGCAGATTTCTCCCACCCAGTGGCCTCAGGGCATAGTTCTCCCTTTTCTGGTTAGGCTACTTTAGGAGCCCTGTGCATGCAAAGAGCAATATTGTTACCATGAGGGCTAAGAGATGGGGCAGAGAGACCATCCGGGTTCCCTGGGTCCCCTGCAGGCATCATCACCTCCCTTGGGTGTGGTGGTGTCTCTGGTAGAAGAAAGAGCAAGAGGTGGGGCAGAGGTGTGGTCTGGATATGTAATTTCAGACATCTGACCTCCAGCTGGAATAAGGATTCCAATTGTCTTTATCTGCAAAACGGAAGTAATATCTTCATAGGTTACTGTGGCAATCAAATGAGACTAATGTGTGGGAGGGTTCAGAACTGTAAGGCAAGAAATCCATCACAGGACATTACCCAATTTAAAGTCCTTCCATGCCTTCCCTATAGCTTTTGGGGTAAAAACATGTTTACCACAGCCTCCAACCAGCTCACTAACCTCATCTCCCACCATCTGACCCACATGGTTCTTGCAGCTGAGCTCATGCCTGCTCTGGGTCTCCTGCATGCGCTACTTCCTGGCTCGGACTTCCTCCATCTAACCAACTACTCGTCATCAGCTTTTTAATCTTTCTCAGAGAAGCCTGACCAGGACTGCTTCTTACTTGCCCTCTTTGGACCTTCATCTTTGCACACTTATAAAGAGTTGCGTGACTGTCTGAGGTCTGCATCCACCCACCTGTGTTCCCTGAATGTGGGCTTCCTGAGGATAGGAACTGAGCACCATGCCGACAGTATCTCCAGGCTTTGCAGAGCATTCAGCACAGAGTAGGCATTTTATTCGTTGAAAGAAAAAAGCAGCTGGGCGCGGTGGCTCACGCCTGTAATCCCAGCACTTTGGGAGGCCGAGGCAGGTGGATCATGAGGTCAGGAGTTCGAGACCAGCCTGACCAACATGGTGAAACTCCACTTCTACTAAAAATACAAAAATTAGCCAGGCATGGTGGTGCACGCCTGTAATCCCAGCTACTCAGGAGGCTGGGGCAGGAGAACAGCTTGCACCCGGAAGGTGGAGGTTGCAGTGAGCAGAGATCACGCCACTGCACTCCAGCCTGGGGGACAGAGTAAAAAGAAAAAGGCAACTGACTCAGAGGCAGCTCTGCCCCCAGGCCCCCAGGCCTTCATCCACTCTCCTTAGCCTGAAGTCTGTGGCATTCGCAGTCCTCCCCAACTCCACCCGACTCAGCAACTGCTCCCAGTTCAGCAGAGGAATCAGGAGCACTGTTCTGACTTTCTTCCTTGCTCCTCCCTATCAAAACTCAAAATTCTGGTCACTTGCATCTTCCTTCTTGACTCTCTTTCACGAGGCCAGAGAACACATGGCCTGTGTACCATGTCACCTCAGTTTCTAGTTTGGGGCTGTTCTGTAGATGGATCACTTGCCTATTAGTAAACCTCATGAGGATGGCTCCCATCCCTCCCTGTTAGGCAAAGAGCAGAGCCTCTCGAATCCAAAGGCTTGAGCACAGGTCCAAGTCCAGCACTATCCCAGTTGTTAAGGCTTTGGACAAATCAATTACTGCACCAGTTTCCTCATCAGTAAAATAGAATACCACTTCACAGAATGGCGGAAATCAGGAGGTACACAAATTACGGTGTGACACTGTGCTAAGCACTCTACCTGCTTTCATCTGTGCAGCTCAATGTGATAGACTCTACTTCATTTTCCATGTGGGGTAACTGAGGCATGGAGGGGTTACACTCTACCTGCTTTCATCTGTGCAGCTTGCTCACACCACCATTAAAGCAGTCTGAACTCAGGCAAGCTCCCCCAAGAGACCCAAGCTCTTTCCTAACTGTCAGGCTTGCTCTGTTCCCTTAAAGTCAGGGGCAGAAGAAGTGCTCAGTAGTTTCAGGTTATTTCGATTCAAATTTGGCCAGACATGGTGGCTCACACCTGTAATCCCAGCACTTTGGGAGGCTGAAGCAGGCGGATCACAAGGTCAGGAGATTGAGACCATCCTGGCTAACATGGTGAAACCTCACCTCTACTAAGGATACAAAAACTTAGCCGGGTGTGGCGGCGGGCGCCTATAGTCCCAGTTACTCGGGAGGCTGAGGCAGGAGAATGACATGAACCCGGGAGGCGACAGAGCGAGACTCCTCAAAAACAATTAATTAATTAATTAAATTAAATAAAACAAGTGAACTCATACCTTGTTCTTGCAAGGGGGAACAAGAAATTACAGTGTAATGATGAGACAAGAAGAAATTACTGTGTTCAAAAGAGGTGAAGGAACTTGAGTCCTAACACTATTTCAAATTTCTTAACCTTGGCAAGTTAGCAAACAAGATTTTCTTTTTTTTTCTTTTGAGACACAGTTTCGCTCTTGTCGCCCAGGCTGGAGTGCAATGACACAATCTTGGCTCATTGCAATCTCTACCTCCCGGGTTCAAGCTACTCTCCTGCCTCAGCCTCCCAAGTAGCTGGAATTACAGGCATGTGCCACCACACCCAGCTGATTTTGTATTTTTAGTAGAGACGGGGTTTTGCCATATTGGCCAGGCTGGTCTCGAACGCCTGACCTCAGATAATCTGCCTGCCTTGGCCTCCCAGAGTGCTGGGATTACAGGCGTGAGCCACTGTGCCTGGCCATTTGTTCATTTTTTAAAGCTATATTTTGTTTGGGCTATGAATGTCAGAATGAGGAACCTTTTTTTTTTTTTTGAGATGGAGCTTCACTCTTGTTGCCCAGGCTGGAGTTCAATGGCATGATCTCGGCTCACTGCAACCTTGGCCTCTCGGGTTCAAGCAATTCTCCTGCCTCAGCCTCCCGAGTAGCTGGGATTACAGGCATGCACCACCACGTCCAGCTAATTTGCTATTTTCAGTAGAGACAGGGTTTCTCCATGTTGGTCAGGCTGGCCTCGAACTCCTGACCTCAGGTAATCCACCCGCCTAGACTTCCCAAAGTGCTGGGATTATAGGCATGAGCCACTGTGCCCGGCCGAGGAACCTTTTTTTAAAGCTATATTTTGCTTGGGCCATGAATGTCAGATTGAGGAACCTTTTTCAAAGCACGCACCAACACAGTTTTACTGCATTCTTGTTTCCTTAAATGTCTGAGGCTCCTAGGGCAGTGGTTCTCAACTCCGCTGCACATTTGCCTCACTTAGGAAGATTTTTATTTACTTATTTAATTTTTTTTTTTTTTTTTTTTTTTTTGAGACAGAGTCTTACTCTGTCACCCAGGCTGCAAGGCAATGGTCTGATCACTGATCACTGCAGCCTTAACTTCCCAGGCTTAAGCGATCCTCCTGCCTCAGCCTCTTGAGTACCTGGGACTACAGGAAAGCATCACCATGCCCAGCTAATTTTTTCTATTTTGTGTAGAGATGGTATCTCACTATGTTGCCCAGGCTGGTCTCGAACTCCTGGGCCCAAGTGATCCTCCTGCCTTGGCCTCTCAGTGTTGGGATTACAGGTGTGAGCAGCCGCACCAGCCTAGGCTAATAGAAATGTTCTGAGCATGTTTAAAGAAGGCTAGGCTAAACTCTAATGTTCACTGGGTATATTAAATCGACTTATGATCAGTTTATTAGGACGCAAACCCATCATAAGTCGGCGAGCAGCTGTATTTATTAAGAGCTTCCCACGTTATTCTAATATGCAGGCAGAACTGAGAAGCGCTGACCTAGAACCGGTATTCTCAGTGTGGTCTCAGCCAGCGTTAGCATTGCCTGGGAACTTGTTAGAAATGAAAATAATCAGGCCTCACCCCAGATCTCCTGAATCAGAAACTCAAGGGGTAGGACCGGTAATCTGAGTTTACAGCTCCTGCAGGGGATTCTAGTACAGGCTAAAGAACTCTGATGGAGGCACTCAATTTTAAAGCAGAAACCTAATCAAAAAGGATGTCTTACCTA